GGCCTCATGGTCATGCTTGCCGCGTTTGCGACTGAGGAAGCCCATGGAGACAACGGTGGCTAGGGTTTGTGTCGACCGGCATGGGAGCACGCGTGGACTGATGTGGACTGATGCGAGGAAGAAGTGGGTGTGACACCCTCCACCCCCCTGCTTGCCTTTTAAAAATGATGTGGCCTCGACTCTTCCTTTGGCTGAGGAGCGGGCTCGAGGTTGATGGGTTGCATTGACTATGACTGAGTGGGTGGTTGGCCAGCCTACACATGGGCCCAAGGCGAACACCTAGAAGACGTGCGTCGCGTCCATCTCGTGTCTGCGTGGACGCAAATCAGGCGCAAATTCAAGCTGGAAATGTGTCCAGATAGACATCAAGCGGACCAAATCTGCGCATGCGCAGGCGTGTTGGGCCATCACGTACTTATATTTGTTTCGGTCCAAACGGACACGGCGGACCAAATCCGGCGGGGCGATGGGGTTGGCCTTATGTACTCTAGCTTATTTTTTCCGAAAAGGGGAGGACCCCGGCCTCCACATCATCATGATACACATAGCCATACGTAGCTTATAATAATTTTGAAAAGGCGAAAACTATATGAAGGAAATATGCCCTAGAGGCAATAATAAAGTTATTATTTATTTCCTTATATCATGATAAATGTTTATTATTCATGCTAGAATTGTATTAACCGGAAATATAATACATGTGTGAATACATAGACAAATAGAGTGTCACTAGTATGCCTCTACTTGACTAGCTCATTGATCGAAGATGGTTAATCAAAGATGCTAGAATTCTGTTTTCTCTTCTTCTCCTCTATTCCTTTCTTCTTCTCCTCTTCTTTTTCTTCTTTTTTTTCTTCAATCTTCTCCTCTATTAATATCTTCTTCTCCTATTTTTATTTCTTCTTCGTCTTCTTATTTTTTATCGGATATGTCGTTGTCGATATACTCCGTGTCCCGATAACTTCAAAACGAGGAGAGGGGGTTCGACCTACCCGCTCCCCGATAACTTATACCACGGGAGCACCCCCGGCCCTATCGCTCGACCAAAACTCTCGAGGACACCCAAACCCTAAAAAAAACGATGTCGGTCTCCTATCCCCTCCCGCCGCGCCCCTACCCTTGAAGCGTTGCGGAGGCCACCCCAAACCCGGAATAAGCTAGGTCTACGTTTGCCACTAATATATCCACATGATGTCATGTTTGTGTAATAATTGCCGTGTTGTAATATTTGCAGAAACAATGAAGTTCGGACGAGACGAGGAACAAGAACAGGTGTTGGGGACATAATCTTAGCCGGAGGTGATGTCATGTCGTATCTTAACGACAATGATTGTCTGGAAGCAGAACAGGGTGAAGAAGAAGCAGTCTACGGTGATCGAAGAATGGAGGAGGAAACACATGATTATGATGGCTCTAGTGACCCAATGCTGGTGCAAGAAGGAGCCCGTGATGACGGCTCCGATGACCGAACAGAGTCCGGCCAGGTAAATATATTAGTTAAGCATGTGATGACTAGCTAATTGATGCATTCATTGTTTTGGTATGTACACATACTAATTAACTCTCGTCTAATTCTTATTTTTTCTAGCCCTCTGGATCGAGAACAACTTCGGTAAAGAGACCAGGCCCGAAGAAAAAGTTGCGCTCGGATGAAAGGTTTGAGATCACAGAAATCGCGCACGATGGCATGCCGATTGAACCCATCCGGACAAAGGAAGCATTTTCTGCTCAGTGCGGGGTTCTTGTTAGGGGCAAGATCCCGATCAGCATCCAGCAATGGTATAAGCCTAAGAACGAAGACCCTGAGGTGTCTTATGTCAATGATATGCAGAAAGATGATCTTTGGACTGAGCTGAAGGCAAATTTCACCCTACCGCCCGAGGAGGATCCGGAGAAGCCAGTTAAAGAGCAATTAATCAAGTCTCATGCTCTTAAGAAGATGGCAGAGCTATTCAGGAGGTGGAAGAATGAGCTGAAAACGTTTGTCGACAACGAAGAGACACCAGAATTCATCGGCAGATATGAGAAGATCAGAGATCACTGGCCCGCATTTGTGGCCTACAAGACATAGGAAAAGAGTAAGAAGATGTCGGTGACAAACAAGAAAAATGCTGCAAAGAAGAAGCTTCACCATCGCACGGGGTCAGGTGGCTAGCGTGTCTAGTCCTCTCTATACGTATATAGTACGTAGCGTCGATCAATTAAGCATGGACATAAGACATGACACTTTTTTATTAATTAGCTAGCTAACACAATATATGAAACACCTAAATTAACCTCCCAAAACCCCCAACCCCCCCCCCCCTTTCAAAAAAAACAAAAACCTCAACCCTTGAAATGCTGACGCGTGGATGCCTATTGGTCCCAGTTGGTGCCACCAACCGGGACCAAAGGCAAAAAAACAAAAACCTCAGCCCCTGAAATGCTGATGCATGGATGCCTATTAGTCCCGGTTGATGCCACCAACCGGGACCAAAGGCCCTCCTGCCTGGGCTCGGCGCACCGGCCAGGTGGAGGCCCATCTGTCCCGGTTCCTGTTTGAACTGGGAGTAAAGGGCCAGGGCATTAGTAACGACCCTTTAGTCCCGGTTCAAAAACCGGGACAAAAGGCCCTTACCAACCGGGACAGAAGACCCTTTTTCTACTAGTGTATCGAGACCTCTTCGATCTTCGAACACTTCATCCACACAAAACTTCAACAGAAAACTCGGTAAGATCCGTTAGTATAATAAAGCAAATCACTACTCTAATTACTGTTGCAAACCAATTCATATTTTGTTTTTGCATTGTGGCTACTGTAATATAACTTTTCCATGGCTTAATCCACTGATATAAATCGATAGTTTCATCAAAACAAGCAAACTATGCATCAAAAACAGAATATGTCTAAAACAGAACAATCTGTAATAATCTGAACATTCAGCATACCTCTGGTACACCAAAAATTCTACCAAAATTAGTAAAAATAATTTTTTTTTATAGAAGTACAATGCAAACATTTTCAGAACCGTTTGACATTCGAGTAAAAAATGTAAAATCACGCACTATAGCCAAAGTTTCTGCCCTGCACCACACAAACCAACAAGCATTGTAAACATCCTAAAGGAAAA